ATTTCAGTTTTAATAGCAGAAAGGAGTTCTTCTCTTGGTGAATGTTTCAATTGTTTTCATAATGTTTGAGATGAATCTTAATTGTCATCATTACTACTAAATTGATTTAATATATTCTTCATCGTTATCAATATTCATTTTTGATTTAAAATATAGAGTTTACGGTCAAAAGAAGTTTTCTTGTGTACATATATAAATAGTACAAGTGTAGACGCTTATAATACCAATAAAAGTTTGATATGAGGATACAAAGTGTTGATATACTGTCTGATTTTCTTTTTAATACATGCTAGAACGATATTTAATAATAACGGGTTGAAAGCTTCATCGACTGCATTCTCTGGTTCATGTTGTGATTCTGGATTCTTATTTTTAATTTTCTGTTTGATAATATTCCAGAGCAGTTCAATAGCGTTAAAGTAAGGACTGTAACCTGGCCATTCGCATAATTCGATATCATACCGTTCACACGATTGCTTGAATTGAACACTTCAATGTCATTGGACTCCATGAGACACAAATAAGAATCCATTCAATTGTTGTATATTTGCAGATAAAGCTTCATTTACTCTATGATAATATGTATCACTTTTTAAACAATTATTAAATCGACAGAACACATAACCATTCTATCAAATGAAATCAATTAAATTAACATGAGCCTATAAAGAAGAAATTTCCTTCTTGGGCGTCGGCTCCCCTCGTCTACACCAAACAACCTGTTGTGTGCTTTTTAAATCAATGTAACAGTCATCCTCAAAAATATATTTCTTGATGTTAGCATGATGATGCAATGCAGCAAATCGATATCGGTTTTGTTCATTCATATTGTTACTCTTGAGTTTAACACAAGACTTGCGTAGATGATAACCAAGAGAACGACGATAACGTTGCATGGTGTGTTCGGTAGTATTGAAGTGTGTCAGTGTGAGTAATAGTAATTCAGCAGCAGTAGCCGATCAATTTCTTTGTATGGTTCGATCGAGTTGTTTGGTTCGTGTTGAATCGAGTGGTGTGTGAGGTGTGCAGATGTGGATGTTGGTGTAATTGAAGAATAAAGAAGCACTCACCCACATCCATACCCTCAACCACGCATAGTATTTAAAAAATGAAAGCTAATTTATAGCTAACCATGTAAATGACATAACCATGTCTCGATCTCAGTTAATAATAATTTAAAACAAGTCAATGACATCTTAGCCTTTGTTAACTGGTATTGACCTTAGTGAGCTGCAAGACTTATAGCAGAATTCATCACCTGTACATGTCTGTGACTGTGATCAAATCAATAACTTGTAATGTAAGGCTTGACAATAAATAATGATTTTGACATGCTCGAGCTCGTCATCTTTTTCATTCCCATCAGTTTCTCATTAAAATGTGCATTGTACAACTTATGGAGAATTAGAAACAGCTTAATTCACAATATATGAAATTGACTGCATCTTTCATTTGTTCTGAACAGTTGGCCAGAATAGATTAATCGAGACTTTTACCGTTGTTTTTTTCTTGATTCTTGTTTTTCTTGACCGACAGTCATGATTCTTTTTACAAATGATTCAATGTAAGATTGTTGCCTGAAAAGAACTGATCTTGAGTTTCTGGTAACAACCATGTAGACAGAATCTTGCACGAAGAGGCAAAAATTATCTCAACAGACACGATTCTTGTGCTCTTGGATGCTGATGTGAATCTTTTGAGTTAGATCTAACCTTCACTATACGTCAAAACGACTATTTTCTTTGGTTATGTTGCTGAATGTCAAAAACTAGAAATCCTTGTAAATCCTAGGTGCAAAATTTTCCTGAGTTTCGATCAATCGAATAGAATATAACAAGCATGAACACAGCACATCACTGAAGGTAAGGGGGAAATCTATGATCGAAAAAGATTTGGATTATCGGCATTCTTCATTCAACAATTACATTTTCAATGTTTTGATTTCCGACATTTAATTACCGAACTTTTTTCATCGTTGCTGTTTCATTTTCATGTCATTTAGATGAGGGTGTGAATGTGCCAGTCAAGAAAAGACTTACATGCACACCTACGCCAAAAAGAAAGTATTTCTTATTGAAAATAAGTTACTAGGTTTGGACGATTAAGGTTTTCGTCACTTTTTAATGAAAAAATAAATTAATATAAAAAAGTTTAATTCAATAATTTAAAAATTTTATTAACTGTAAATATAATTTAAATCGACTTGAGATAAACATATTCTTTAATAATATTTAATTATTATACTAGACATTTTGTTGAAACTAGAAAGCAAATAAGAGAACACACAATCAGTAACAAAAGAAAATACTAACATTTATCTCAAGTATTTCAACTTTATTAATTGAGGCAGAGATTTTTTTCTTTGCTGGTTGATTCTAATTAGATTTAAAGTCTACATGACACATCTTTCCGTTAATGATCGCTATATTTGTTTAGTTTCGGCAATCTAAAGTTGATGTGAATTCATTAACATTGAATGGATAAATAGTATCTGTAGATGCAATGATTCATATGATCCACACTCTTTTTCATTAACTGATACACTTATATTCATGCAGACGTTCTCTGATCGTGAAAATCAACTTTGTTCACACAATCTTCAGATAACTTGGTCAAATCAATTATCGACTCAGTCCAGGAAAATCTCTGGACGAAAACAAATCTACAGGCAGTATCCAAATTATTCTGACGTGGATCGATATAGGTGGTGTTCGAAAAGTTCTTGAAGAACTCTTAAACGGTTCAAGCGATTTATATACATATTATACTATATTCTTTGAACTTTCTTCTGTAAAATAGTTTTTAATGACTAAAATACATCAAAGATAGGTTATATAATAGCTACATTTCAATGCTTTTGTAAAACTGGTAAAGTAGAACAGAAAAAAAAGGTTCTGGAAGATCGTCAAAAAGTACGGAAGAAAAGATTGACAAAGTTTATGATGTTTGTGAAAATTAAATCACAATCAAGTATTCGGACTGTTGCAACAGCCTATTCCTTTCCGCCAACAACAGCACATGGAATTATGACTGAATATGGTTCATTGAAACTGTATAAGATGCAATTTGTCCAACGAGTTTATGAAGATATATATAAAATGAAAACCTATGTGTTTAAGACTTATATAAAACTTTGATTGAATTCAAAATAAGAACCGATAACGAAAATAAATTAATTCAAAAATAAACTGTAGTATTTTAAAGATTTCGAAAAGAATGATTTTATATATTTCAATTGATGACATAGGTGGCGAAACGTTTTGGTTCTAGAATAAACTCCACATTTTTTATAAGATCCTCATCTGAAAGTTAAAAAATGAAACAAAACGAGTTTTTGAATGCTATTTATATGAAACACAGTTAGTATCTCTTTTATCGAACTCACATTTTGCAACTTATAACAATGGTGCCGATCAGAAAAACAAGCAAACGTTTATGTTCATCGAAATGCGATTTTCCAAAGAAGAGATTTTGATCTCCTTTACTGAAAAAAAGTGAAATGGCGAGGTAGAAATGTTTCACAAAAAACAAAAGATATTGCATTGTGAGCTTATTCACTATTGAAATATTTAATAGGCATGTAATCTTAGTCATCGAAGGCGAAGACAAGTTTTGACAGATTCTACTTAATCTGGTTCAGATTTTTCGTATAATTCTGTTTCAATTGCAATGAAGGAATTCATCAAGTGTTTTTTGAGTCTACTTGATTAAGAAAATTCTATTATTAGCTGCTGGAGGCAGCGAAAAATATTGATGTCTGTACAAAAAATGTGATATACTGCTCAAGTCTATCAATCTCACGGAAGAAGAAAAATATTTGACCCTACCCTAGCCTCCGAAGCGTGAATTTAGGGTAGGCTTTGACCTATCGAGACCTTGTGGCTCGACCGCCTATGATTCATGATAATCATTTTCAACATTTGTTGTAAACTAAATTACATGAAATAAAACTTAAAAGAATATGCTGTCATTTTTGTTTAAAAAAAACAATGAAATCGTTTGAATTGTATAGAAGATGATTGTGTAAAATTTTCCTACAGACTTCTAGAACATCCTGTAGATAACAGAAAATTTAACATATCAAAACAACGATATTATTTATTATCAGATGAAATAACATCTTCGACAGAATCAGTATCCATTTTATAAAGCTTCTTTTGATCATCTGGTACATGGACAGATCGTGGTGGTCGATATTGTCCTTTTCCAGCTGCTTGTTCAGCTTCTTCCAATGTATATGCTTCAGTTTTTAAATCTTTTACTCGACGTTTATGAACTTTACTTTTCAAATGATGTTGTAAATTGTGATCATCAACAAAATATCGTCTATTTAAGAGAAAAAAATAAAATAAACATATGTGTCAATTGTAAAATGAATTATTTTTGACTTACGCGCAATAAAGACAATAATGTTGAGCTGCGCCAGGTATATCATAATCAATTGGTTGATTTAATAAATGACGAGCTGTTTCAGCAGCCATATTTGCTTGAACTTCATCGAGATCTTTAGTTTTTCGTTTGGTTTTTAATATTTTACCTTTTTTATCTACACCACTATGACTTTTATTTTTTGAACGAGTTTTTTTCGGCATTACGAAAGTGAAATTATGAACAAAATTTTTTTCGTATGTTTAATTGTTCGCTACCAACATAAACCAATCAAGTAATGATCGATATTTGATGACCTCTATTAAATATAAAATTTATTTAAGAATACTTGAGAAAAAAAAATCTATTTTTCTAAATTAAAGTTTAATTCTTAATTAATAAAACAATGTCAGATATCATTGAATATTAATAAAAAAATAGATGTCACTCATATGTTTATTTCATTCTTCTCTCCAGCTGTTTTGTTTATTTATTTTTTTTCTCTAGTAGATTTTGATCGATTGGTTTATAGTCATTAGTCTTTTCTATTCTTTCTGTTTTTTTCTTGTGGTTAGAAAAAAAAAGTTTTTTTCTTTTTTTTTCTTCTTCGAAGAAGAAAAGAAAATCAAAATATGGCTTCAACATTATCATCTCCCTCATTATGTCAACAATCTCAATGTGATGCATATCAATTTACTATCTGTCGACATTGTCAATTATTTCTTTGTATAAGACATTTAGCTGAACATCAACAACAATTTCCAAGTGATTTTCAACGTTTATTAGATGATGCACGAAGACAACAAGCACAATTAGCATCATTTGATAAACGATTAACTGAACAACGTTTAAAATTAAATCAAGCGCTTGATAATGAAATGGAACATTTTAGACAATTAAATGCTTATGTACAATCAAAAACATCAGTATCAAATAATATTGGACCAGATGATTTTGTTAATATGCGTTCATGTCTTGCACGATTACAACAAACAGCCGCCTTTTTACCCGTTATTGATAAAATTGGACAATTGATTGGTGAACACGAATCAGCAACAGGTTAGTGCTTTTTTTAAAGAAAATGCTATTTGTTATTTTCTTTTTTGTTTTAGCTACAAATACTAGTAATGCTCCATTTAATGATGAAAGTTTATATGGTACATTTGGTGGTTCGTATTGAAGATAGCAAAAAAAAAAGCAAAGACAAATAAATTTATTCCTTTTTTGTTTATTATAGATTCACGGTTATTTTTAATATCGAATCTTAAACAAGACCAAAATAATAAAAATGATCGAAATCGTTCAGACAATATTTCAGATCTACTAAGTTAGTAATGTTTTTATAAAATTTACATTGTAGAGGATGTTTTCAATACTTTGTGTTGGGCGGACAAAACATAGTATAGAAATTTTATTGTGTCAGAATAGGTCCAACCACCAGACGATGCCAGATGCATATCCCCTGAAAGATTTTAGTAGTAGTAGTAAAAAACCCTGAACACGAGTTGTTGTATGATAAATCATATTTGTTTCGCATGTATGTCACAGATCTGTAGAAACTATCTATGTGCATTTACATGCATAAAGAAAAGTTTTTAATGTAGAAAATTAGTTAACAAAGTATTTTTGTTTCATAGCAATCAAGATATAAAGTTCATGCACACATAGTATGATTGATTTCTCAATAGAGAATATAATCGAGATGTTTTTTTTCTTGGTTAATTCTTTTCCTGATTCAATACATCTCTTCTTCAACATGCATGTGTCCCCCAAAAGCGGACACTATTACAGCATTTTGTATGCTTGCATCATTGTTTAGATTAACCTTTGTTTGCCACAAGCCATGACGAAACCATCGAAGAATAAGTTAAAAAACTTTTTTATTCTGCTAATCGTCAATCTAATCTGTCACTCTCATCTTTTCAGAAATCTTCCACTTATGAAATACATTTGATAGAGAATTTTGTTGATTATTCAAACTACTATTTGACTTTGAATTAAATACTTGATATTGTAGACAAAAAATCAACAATATATTTGCCTTATAGTTCTGATCAGTACTGTTAGATGGAAGAAAATGAAATAGTTTTTATATTCCTCGTTCATACATTGTAGCTATATTAATGAGAAAAAAAAGAGAGAAACTTCGAGAGTTGCTTCATTCCGATTTCAATGATTTTATTGTCTAACTAAGCTATCGAATTTTGAACTACAAATTTTACATGTATAGAGAACTCAACTAGAATTAGCTTCCATAAAAAAAACACTAGGTTTGAACAAAGTGTTTTCAAGATAGAGACCTTTTTCCATGGATATTGTATACAACATGCATTTTTTGAAAGCTTCATATCTGGAAGTGATTTTGATCAAAACTCGATAGCTTAGTTAAATCTCAATAGGAAGCTAGTTTTTATTAGAATTTTAATGAAAATGTCGAAAGATTATTTCAATATTTACTCTTTATTTAGATTCCTCTTCTATTTCCTATTCAAATCAAGATCTTTTGTCATCAAACAGTAAGTGATAAAAAAAAATTTAATATTAAATGATGCCTTTGTTTTTTTATTTATTCTAGTCGAAAAAGTAACAGAAAATGATGATGAACTACCAGAAATGTAAATATTTTGCTTTATTCGAAAAAATTCTTAATCATTTTTTTTTTCATTATAATTCTAGTGAAACTAATCAACCTCATAATTCATTAACGGTATTTTTCTTTGCATTCTCTGAAATCTTAAATTCTCGAATTTTATTTTTTTTGTTTAATATCGTAGGTTCGAGAATTAAAAACTTACAAATGTGACTATTGTCCATTAGCAACAAATACTTATGGTATTGAACGACATCATCAAGTTCGTCATATACCATGTATACGTCGTTCAAATTCTCAAATATCATTATTTGAACATCTTAAACAATATCATTATTTAAATTATGCAGCATCAATGCAAATTGTTCGTCTTGTATCATCCGGTGATCTTGATGATCATCCAACATTATTTTCATCAGCTAATGAATCATCAATTGTTTCAATACTTCCATCATTTTTTCGTGCACCATGTCCATTAACACGACATAATGTATTTGGTCTTGGACCAATGCATGGTATACGTTTATGTTCACCATCAGTTGAACAACAAGATTTTGCATTATATGATCATTTTCTTGCATATCATCAATTAAATCGTGCAAGTGCTATGAAATTAGTTAAAGCTATGATGAAAAATGAAAATTCTAGTCAACGTATATTATTTCGACCTGATGAACAAGTTTTAAATGAAACAGCATATGTATCATGTCCATTAAGTAATTATAATGCTGTTTTACCACATCAAGAACGTATACCACATACACCATGTCAATCAACAGTTAAATTACGTTATTTAACTGGACATTTACGTGATGTACATCATTTAAATAAAACAGCAGCTAAACGTATTGCATCAGCATTACGTAATGAACAAGGAACAATTGATAGTAGATCTATTGGATTATTTGAAAGAGATGAAAATATTCTTAAATCAAAAAAGAAAAAGGTAAGATAATTTGAAATTATCAGTTTTATTTTCTAACGATAATAAAAGTATGATAATTAAATGTCCGATATCAGTCAGTAATACTTTTTTTTTGTATTCCAATAAAACGATAAATATATTTTACTATTGAAATCACTTAATATCTTTCTAGTTAATAAAATATAGGTTGAATTAACATGAATACAATCCATACTTTGTGTTCATTTGACTATTCATATAAATAATGATTGATAAAACGTAGCAATAGATTTCTGTTATTCAATTTTCAATCATTTATCGTCTTATTGAAAAATAAAAATAACACAGAACATATGAATCATTTTTAACTAGAATAAGATAATATTAAAATTTTTCGCTTTAGAATAATGCAAATCGTTTTCGACCACCAGCACAATTAGCCAAATATGTTCAGCAAAATAATAATCATAATCAACAACAACCTCCACCACCTATATGGTGATTAGTTTCAAACATGCACACATTTAATTATGTCTCGTTCTTTACTATTTCCTTACCTGTTTTCGAATACATTTAGTGTTCTGATTGTTTTTCTTTTTTTTTTGTGACTCGATACATCAGTAAACGTGTCTTCTGTTTTTTTTCCTTCTCCTTGTTTTTTTTTTTTTTGTACATAGTTGTTTTCTGTGTATGGTTATTAAAGCTTTCTTATTCCTTGAATGGTCTCTGCTGCATCCCTTGTTTTTTTTGTTTTCCGTTTATCGTCACGTTTCTTTTTTTTCATGTACATGCATGTGTGTGTGTATTATGGTCATTGTTGAATATAGATGAACAAGGGCGCAATACAAATAATATGAATATCTTTCGAATTTGAAAGAAAAATGTTCATCATTGATATGATTTGTCTTTTTTTTGTTTCAAATATTTTCATTTGATTTATCTGGCAAAAAGACTTTAATAAACTGGGTCGCAATCAGTCAACATTAGGCTTAGTTTTCTGTAAAAAATAAAATATAAACTCAAAGGTTTAAGTTTTAATAGACTTTCACCAAAGTTTCTGAATGTTCAAAAACTACTGATTCAAAACCGTGATGTTTTTTGTAAATTATCGAAAATAACATTCCTTTTCTTGAGCAATAAACGTTGATATGAAATTTGTTTGAACTAGAACTTTTTGTTAGAAAATCACACATATTATTATCTGATCACTTTTTTTTGTAAATGAAAAGCTTAGATTAAACATTCTAATATCAATTTGTAGAGAATTGAAAGAAGAAACAATTTGAGATTAGACACAAATTTCAACAATGAAAGTTAGTCGAGAAAAACATGAAATAGAAATTCTACCATTATTTATAAGCTATCCGTTATAAACCAGGTTTTATTTGTCTAGAAGAATAAAGCATATGATAATTACTTAGAATATGTTAAGCATTAATCTTAAACATTTGTCAGCTGAATCATGGTTTTTGCATTAGTGTATTAATGATGCATGAAACCTTTTTTTCGCATGCGTCATATGGTTCTAAAGATAGTTTTGATGTTTTTTTTCTCAAACCCTTATTGATGACACTATTGAAAAAACTAGATGTATTTAAAACAGATTTGTTTTTAATTAGACTTGATATATCACATTGTATATTAATCATGTACTAATATACAAATTTATAAGATTCAATCTTCACTTTCTTGTAACTCTGTACGGTGTTTCATAAATCTTGAGACGTCATAAAATTAATTTATTGAAAAGAATAAAAAATACTCTTATATTAATCTGATTACATAAAAAAGCTTATTTAACTATCACGTTTATGTTGTGTATCACCTTTTATTAATTCACCAAGTCGTTTAGAAATTCCATCGATCAATACAAATTATTTTTTTTTTATTCTTTGTTCAATCGAGTTTTTATTTATTTAAAACTTGACAATTGTTCTCTTCGTATTGTCCATACACTTTCAATAGACTATACATCAGTAAATTTAGCTTCACCTTCTTGAGGTAAAACTTGATTATTAAATAATTCATCAATAGTTCAAAATACAATATTTGTTCTGAACGTGATGTTGTCATATATTTTATCCATTTCAATTAAGTTATTGAAGATATAGCTTGGCTGAATATGTGACTAGTGGTTCGTGATGAGCGTTGAATAAATGAATAATAGACTGTTTTTTAGGTAGAATATGTTCACAGCACTTCATTAAAAAAATCACATTAATCGATTTCGAAAAATTTGTTATTATTCAAAATTTATGAAACATTCTGTATCATTGAATCCTTACATCAGCGTTAAAGTTAAGACATAGTTGATCTATTTACATGATAAACTTGATCAAATAGATAAATAGATATGCAAAGAAAATTTCTTTTAATAACAAGAAGCAAATCTATTTTATATTTTTATAATATTTGACTGAAACATTAAGTTAAACAGAAAGAAAATCAAAATTCTATATCTCAATTTTGCCGTATATTATCGATGTAATAACTCGATTTAACAAACCATTTTTTTTTTATATTGCCAAAATTTTCTTCATATTACATCATCGATTTATTGGAAAAATTGTTTCTTTTTCGTATTGGTTAAAAATTAAGTCACATAGAATAATTCTATAATTCAAAAATTTAGTATTATCATTGATATACTGAATATAAATATTAGTATATTCCATTTATTAATTAATTTCGAAATAGAAATAAAAATTTGCTTGAAATTCATGTGATCAGATAATATTTCTACCAAGATATTGTATCAAACGAAGATGGATCCAGCTGAATTCTTTTTTCTTATGAATTGCAAACTGATAACTCGTTTCTAAATTGTCTTGTATAGAAAAAAAAAGATAAGAGTATCAAAGCACAATTGTAACTATAACAATTAACGATCCAATTCTGTTCAATATTAATTCCTAGATTTATTCTTGAATCATGTTTTTTTTTGTTTTTTTGAAATAAGAATTTGATTAACATGAAATTCATTATCATCACGTACGAAAATCTACATAGAAAAAATAGTTTTCATGGTATTTGAAATTCGAAAAATTAACATCTGACTTTCTTATTCAAATACTTAGAAAACTATTTTTTTCGTAAACTATACGCCTTCATACATGACGTTAATCAAATATCTGTATTATCAGTTCGTTCTGGACAAAATGAAACATTTCTTCTTTTTTTGTTTATTTCGTTTTAATGTAGGCAGTTAGGTATGCTAAAAGCAACAAGAGAGAGGAAATTAACAGCCTATAAAAAGAGAATCTTTTCAATGTATTTTATTTTAGTTTCAAATACAAAAAAATTACAAACGAATCAAAATGCATCAAAAGGTATGTAAGATTCTCTTTAGTACAAGGATATTTATTTCTCATCCTTTGAAAAAGGTTCTTTTACGTGGCAGCGTAATTTTGATATTGTTCGTATTATCTATCGCATATGTCAATGGTGACGAAGATACGACAGCCGACACAACAATTGTTGATTCATTATGTGAAGGCGATGAATGCGAAACAGATACAACTGTCCAAGAAGGTAAACTTTTTTTTACGCATTATAGTTATTGGTATATTCAATTTCTTTGTATCACTTTTATTTTATTATTTTTTTCAAATTAATTTAGATACAACAGTTACAGTTACAGTTACACCTGAATCAAGTTAGTTAAATTTTTTATATTTCATTTTCTTATTATTTCTTTAATATTAATGTAGCTACAATAGTTGAAACTACACAAAAACCAAGTTAGTTAAATTTCTTTATATTTCTTTTTATTGTTATCTTCAAATTAATTTAGGTAAAACAACTAAAAAACGGCACAAATCATGTGAGTTCATTTGTCTTTCACTTTCCTTTTTTTTATTAGTTTCAAATTTTCATATCATATTTTCGTACAAATACAGCTAAATACGGCGTAAGTTATATATATAAGAACTGCTTTCATTATTTCATTTTTGATTACAATTAGAATAAACGAAGACGTCCAGGATACGGTACCATGAGTGAAAATGATAGATCATCATTGAACTCATTAAATGTTTGGATTGCCTTTGGTGAGGGCTGGTTAGTTGATGAAACACCAAGATCTGGTGGACGAGGACGTGGTGATCGTCGAAATAATGCAAATTATAATAACGAAATGGGTGATGAAGATACCGATGATGATTATAAGAAAGAAAATAATGATAAACAACGTGCATTTTCACGTATACGTTTTCCAGTTCGTCATTTTCCAAATTATCGTCAATTTCCTATTAGTAAATTTCATTTATCCTATTGATTTTTTTTCTTCATTAATACAAATGCTTGTCTTTTTGTTTTGTTTATTAGCACGTTTTCCACCACTTATGTCAATTCTTCCATGGCTTCCAATCTTTTATGATAAAGTTACTTATCAAACAATTATTTTTTCACCAACAGGCGGCAGTAAGTTGGTTTTTTTTACGAAAGAAATGGAAAACTAAAAAAATATAACTTTTTTTGCTTAGTTTATATTTTACCTCCATTGATCAATTTCTATGGTCAACGTTTTGCTGTTGCTCAACTTATCAAATGGGGATATGCTTCTTTAGTTAGTACAGGTGCACCTCCACCACCTAATGTTGATGTAGCTTCACTTGTTCAACCATCACAAGGTATAATAATAGTTCTTTTTATTTTTTTGTTCAAAGTTATTCTTATTCTTTTTTTTTAAACCTTACAGTTGTCAATGTTGCTAATACAGCTCCTACACCAGGCCTTGCTTTTGATGAAAAACGAGTACAATTTACTGATGGTGTTAAAACAAATTTTCTTCATTTTAAACCACAATATAGTCAAACTTTAGTTGAAGGTGAAGATGATACTTATGACCCACCATTTAACAAGAACTATGGTTCGGATTCAAATTATGATACAACAAGTTAATGTTCAAGATTGAAAATAAATGGGTGGTACGTCTGCTTATTGAAATAAAAACAAAAACTTATTTTATTTCACTTTTTTTTTTTTTGTTCGCGTCAATCTTATATATGAAAAAAACAAGAGTGTTGTTTATCTTTTAATCTTTGCAATAAATATCTATTCATCAAAAGAATTCATGTAACATGAATATTTTTTATTCGGAGAATAATGTTCAGATAAACAGATGAAAAAAAAAATTAATAACAAGAAAATAACGATAAATCTTATTAATTTCGTCTATCATATTTAGGACAATAAGAAAGTAAAAATGTTAAAGTATCATGATGTATTGCAGTAAACATAGAATCAATATGATAAACAAGTGATGTAAGAAGATCAGAATATGCCATAGAGCCACTTGTATACTTGATATAGTTGCAATAAGAGATGATATAGAAAAAAAGAAATGCATCAAAAAGTAAAAAAGAAAAAAACATTTTTCTTCTTCAATTAAAAGTTTTGATAAATTAACAAATGATTAAAAATATGAAACAAATAAATATATTTCATTTTGAACATAATCAATAATTATTCAGCAAGTGAACATATTATATGAATATCACTATCAACAAAATAATAATAATAATAATAATAATGATAATATGACCAACGTTAATCTTGCTTTTGTTCTTCATTTAGTGCTAATTCATATAATTTATTTCTTGCTGTTGTCCAAGTTAACTTTTCCTTGATACTAAATTCTTTTTTATTTATAATAACCATACGAGATATAGGATAATAAAATGATGATATATGGTTAAAAAGAAATCAATTTTTCATTTCTTTTTGTTTCACTTAACTATGTATTTATATAAAGATGAATTACAGTTTTCATGTCAATAATAAAATACACCATCAGCTGTTATACTAGGAAATATTTTTGAATATGAATCTACTTCAATTTGATTTTCACATAGAAATAAATAAAGAATACGAGTTAATGTTGGAATAGATGATATTTTTGTTGATTTTAAATTCATTTTTTCTTGATATTCAATAATAGCATATAATGATATTGAATTCCATTTGAATCAAAGTAAAAGAAAAAAAAGCAAATTTTTCTTCAGTAATATTTCGTCAAAGTGTACATCCATCAGATATAATAATAAATATAAAGAATAATTCAAGCATATAAGAATGAGAATAAAAAAAATGATGAAATGAACTATTTTGCGTCATATATATTTTTTTCTTTAAATTATTGTTTCGTATGATCATTAACACTACACATTGGCAATGGTATGAAAGTGCGAAATAGTCTATGGTTAGTACATACATTTCTCTTTATATTGAAAGAAAAAGTATGTGTATAGTAATTTGTATTAAGCAGAACTTTTCATAATATAGAACCTTGAATATGTATCGGTTCTAATACAAATTATACGAGGTGAAAATTCAATAAAAGATTTTCTTACAAAAATAAAATAAAATCAATTTATTATCTTTTTATTTAAAGAAATTATTAGAATAGTCTTCGATTTATTAATATCATATGTTAAATAAATAATATTACATTTATTTATTTTATTAGATTTTTATTGGATATCATGGCTTGCAAAAGAAATACTCGATTAACTATTATGTTATGTATTACTTTACTACTATTATATATTTCATTATTTTCTTTCAATGATATTGAAAATTTATTATCGTTAGAAACAAATTCTGATTTAATAAGTATCTCATCATGAAATACTAAACAATTACATACATTTCAATGTGTCCTATACAAGGTAAAAAATAGATTATAGTTACAACAATTTTTTATTCCACACAAGTCATTTATAAATTTCTTAATTTAACTACTCAATAGAATTTAATTGTGATTGATGATCAAAAAACATCAAAAGATTGGCTTATATCATCTTTCTATAAATTCTTATGCAAGAAAAAAATCTTGGTTATTTTTGAATCCGATGATGATAATCTACTTGAAACAAATGATATTTATTTTTTACCAAAAATTGTTCAACAAAAACATGTTTCATACATAGGATTTTATCGACAACGATTACCATTTATTAATATTTATGGATTATTTGGTCATCCAAATATATGATCAAGAGGATTTCCTGTTGATGAAATAAGTAATATTACTGAAGATGGATAGTATTCATTTAGACAAAAAAACTTGAAAATAATACTTATGATTATATTCAATAATATCTTGCTGATCTTGATCTTGATGTTGATACTATTGTAAGATATTTTCTTTTTTTTTTTTGTGTGTTTATATAACTTGATCAACTAAACAAATTTCTATTAACGAATGGTGTGAAAGTTTCTAGAGAAAATATTTTTTTATTGGAATCAGCAGAAAACTTAAAGTATTGAGTTAGAATCAGAATTTGATACTCTTTCCAAATATTTTCGTGAAACTCATAGATCAGGAATTATGAATAAATCTCTGAAGAGCCTGACAATAAAGTTGGATGGAAGTAGTAGATCTAGAAAATGACAAATCTGATTGTATGCCATTTGATATTACTTTTGTGCTACTCTCTTATTTCCGTTATAAAGACACCCAATTTAGTTTAGGTCTACTGTCTTCTGCTTGACTGTATCACATTCTGAATTTTTTTAGATCAGTATCTAGACAATAAACACGTCCTTCATAGTAGTCATGCACTTATAATAGAATACTTTCTATTACCAATATTTTTGCAAGAGCGAGACAGTTCTTGTCAAAGTGATCTAAGAACCAAAAGCTTCGTAGGAATCCTTTAGAAATAATCGAGCTGATTTTTTGTAATTTCGAAGAGGTCAATGTGTCTTTTACTAAAAGTCATATTATTTTTCAAAGAAAATTAATCATTTTGTTCAGAAATATTTACTGAAATAAATTTTACTTCTCTACCTTGAATAGTCTTTTTGTCCATTTTATATTTCTGAAGCTTTCGAATATTTGCTCATACTTCGTAGCATATGATTCTAACACAATATGCGAACATATATTCGTAAAAAGGCTAAAATTCTAAATATAACCCAATGCTTTCAATTTTCTGCTGATACTGGCAAATAAAGAGATATATAATCAAGAAATTTTCGTACTAATCATTGTTTTACATAGTATCATTTGTCTCATCCACTATCAATTGAACGAATTCAATTTGATTGAGATCAATCATCTATTGCTCTTGAACCATTTACTTTTTCTCCATATAATACACAAAATACAATAACATACTATGAAGCATTTTGGGATTTTTATTTACCTATTACAACAACATTTCAGATATGTGATATATGGCGAAGTTTTTGAATACAACGTCTTCTTTGTGATACTGGTGGGCGTCTTATATTTAGTAGATCAACTGTTAAACAAGTAAGAAATACTCATCCATTTATTAAACATATGGATGATGAATATCAATTGGGTTCATTTGTTCGTTTTCTTGTTTCATGGTTATCATCTCAACGATTACTTTCGAAAAGAATTGCTCAATTAACAAGAGATATAGCTCAAGGAAGATTTTAGCAATCAAAAGAAGTTAATATAATGGATGCATGGCTTGCTGATCTTTATTCAGTTGGTTATTCATTTCCATCAGTTGTTCTATCATCTTCATCTTCTATAATACAAAAGCGAGCAGCTATATATGTAACTGGTCTTGCTGAATGTATTCAAAAAGCTTGAATACCAACTTATACTAATATTCGACAATGTCTTCATGGTGAAATAGATATATTTCTTTTTCTTTCTTCATCATTCAAAGATGGATCTGTTCCGTTAAATACTCGTTTGAAACAAGTACGTTCATATATGAATTCAACTATAACTATACACTATGAAGATCGATTTATTGATCCGAAAATTCTTTCGAATTATCACCCTCAATTTTAACTTTCTCATCATATTATCTTTTCTGTACCGGCTTAATTTCAACAATTATGGTCACTTCATCAATGTTATGATCTTGTTAAAGACTATGAAAAACATTTTAATATTCGATATCAATTATTGATTTATATCTCATTTTACAACATATGTTAAAATATAGCTCTTATGACCTTAATTCACTTTTTTCAATTTTCGATACATGCTGATAGCATATATAAAATGAAATGATCATATTACTAAATATGATAAGAACATTTTTCTTATATATATGTAGATATATCTAATGAATTTCAATCATTTTTCCACATCATGAAATATTATCTAGTATTTTTATATATTTTTACTGCTTTCTTTTTGTTCAATTTAACTATTTCTAAACAACAAGAAAATTTATTTGATCAATCAAAAAGATTAACTCATGCTATTATACATGGTGAAGTACATGGTAATGGTACTTTACCAATAGAAGATAAAAATTCTTATTTACTTGTTGAACTTCGTCTTTCACGTGATGATCGACCACGATCAATTGCTAGAAATAAAATAAAATTTAATAATAATAATAATAATAATAATAATAATAATATTACAACACAATCATTTACATTACAATTTAAACTTAAATATCCATTATCAAAAATTAGTCCACATAATTCTTATATACTTTCAGCTAAAATTCTAAATAGTCAAAATAAATTAATATATATTGGTGATCTTCATGTACCAATTACTGAACGAAAAAATGAACAAGCAAAATATTTAGTTATTAATGTTATTAAAACTCGTAAGTTGAAAATTTATATTTCGAATTATTTTAATTATTAAATATAGCTTCATGGTATAATAATATTGATAAATTAAGTTTATTAGCTTATAAAGTTACACAATGGGGAGGTACTGAAGAGGTAAATTTTAATATTTTGAATTCAATACATTTTGATATCATTCAAGGCATTTACAAGTGAATTATATACAAATAAAAAATCAGGTATTTATACATGTGTCGTATGCAATTCAACTTTATTTAGGTAATTGTTTCTTTCTTGTCTTCTGTATTTAAATCTTAATATGTGAAAATATTCGTAGTTCAAAACATAAATACAATAGTGGTACAGGTTGGCCATCATTCTATCAAGTAGCTATTGAAGGAAATGTTGCAACAAATATTGATAGAAAATATGGAATGACTCGAACAGAAGTTCATTGTGCAAAAGTTTGTATATTTTTTTTCAAAAATTCATATTAAACTTTAGTTTAATTATACTTTAGTGTAAAGCTCATTTGGGTCATGTATTTGATGATGGTCCTCAACCAACTTATATGCGTTATTGTATCAACGGAGTAGCTTTACAATTTTATTCTGATGAGAATGAAATGAAATAGGTCTAAATTGCTTTTTATTGAATTAAATCGAAATCTTTCTTATGTCGATTGTAGTTAATGTTTAATGAAAATAAACTTCAATATTCATCTCTTAATTTTAACGGTTTCTTTTCGTGCTATTCATATTCAAGTTTTTTTTTAGGGTAATTGACTGATTAGTTTCGATCCGTTTTTGGGATATCATTTTATACTCTTACATACAGTAAGATCTGGATCTTGTTTCTTTTGAGTATTTATTTAACCCTTTACCCTGTTAGGTAATTTTTGACTGACTTATAGAAACTATTTAGTTGGAGTAATAAAGTGTAGGATGGAGATAGTTTCCGGCTATTGTTGTAGAGTTCAGGTTGGACGGCCGAATCCATGAACTTCTGGCAGCCTTCTACCAGAAAACTGGTAGGAACTTGGAAACAGCAATCCAGTGATCGGATTTTTCTAATTCCAGGCAGCGCATGACACTGAATTCCTGCTTCCAGATCCGTATCATTTCTTCGAGTCGTCCTGTCGGAAATGGCTGATATTTCTTGACTTTGGATCTATTAGCAGAGAAGGCTTTAAAAACTTCTTGATTACAACTATGAAGGCAACACTTTTCATGACAACTTGAATCATTTTTGACCTATTTATAATGACGAACACAAAAAGTGGTTTTTTAGGATTATGTTACTTTCGATATAAACAGAACCTTAGTAATACGAATGAGCGATTTCGAATGAGAATCAGAGTCACCATGTTATAAAAACAAAATGAAGACTAATGATATTGACACAATCCTGAAAATGAAAGACTTGATTTCAATCCAAAAATAACCGTCTTTATAAGTGTTTCATCATTCCCAGAAATGGCTCATTAAAAAAAATAATTTATGATAAGTAGGTGTTCAACTTTATACAGATAAAGTAACTGAGAAAAAAAATGCAAAAAAATAAATCAAAGTAATCCATTCCAATGTTTTATCCAGCGTGGAAGAGTTCGAGGAAGCGGCGTTCCTCGGAAGATCAAGCTGGCCCTCCCGGAGCCTTTTGGTTTTTCATGATACATATAGGAATGTGTAGTTTCAATCTATTGACCAAAGACGTCATTGATTCAGTGCATACTGATTACATGGGCAGCAGTGTTAATTGAGTCATTAGAACACATCGCTATAAAAAGGATATATTTTGATAGAGTTAGTATCTCTATGTTGCAGTGAACGCGGGGCCAGTGTAACCAGTGTTCCTTGTACCGGTAACTCACTATTCCGTATCCACACCAACAATGTTCATTCCTAGCCACATACTATGTGTCTATGCTTCAAAAAAAAGGTGTTTACCCTCCCGGACTTCTAAATCGCTCCTCTGGAAGGGAAAATCTGGATAAAATACTGGCCCATTCTCTATCCCAACAGAATAATCACTTTACCCAAATTTTACTACAGAAGTGTTCTAATTTGTTAATTGTTTCTTAGTATAATATTTTTGAATTGTATTTTATATTCAATACTTAAATACAACGCCTATTGATCGAAGATTAATAGTAGACACGATGAATCTGCTGATGAGTATATATCTTTCTCATGCTGTTAACCTTCTTTTGTAAATATGAATATCGAATCAATGAAAATTAATTTAATCTCTTCTTGATTTATTTCATTATACATGTGTATATATATATATATTTCCTTCCCTTTCACTATTTTGACATAGAAAAAAAAATCAAGAAACAAAAAGAAAAAGAAAAAGAAAATGTAACAAACAAATACGCACAAGAGAAAGAAAATGCAATCATGATTGAATATTTGATTATTGTTTGAGAGATTTAATCATCATCATCAAAACAAAAATTCGTTAAAAAAAACAAACAAAAAGAAAATATCTGACTTTTTTCTTGTATCATATTCTATTTAGTATTTTTAAACAGATGTTTCTGAATTTAATTTTAAAACAAATTTATTTTGTTTTAAATCAAAAAATTTTTCAATTAACTTAATTCTTGGTATTTGATGAAATGTACATATTAATGCAATATGTTCAGCATGTTGTTGTTTAAGTACAAATATTAAATTTGAATAAATTGATTGATTTATAGATATTCTTTGACATTTTTCTTCATCATTTGTTAATGTTTGTGTATCACATACAAGTATCCATGATTGTTCTTGATTTTTTGTTATTGATGCTAACACTGGAAATAACAACGTAGCTAATGGTTGAGATTCTGTTTGAATATAACGTTCAAGAAATGTTCGTGGTGAAAGATCATGTGATAAACATGTTGCTAAATGAGTTATAATTGATTCTCGTGTAAAATAAGGTTGTTGTCGTGTTAATCGAAGATATTTTTGAAGAGAACGTGACATTGAAGAAAAAACAGCCTAGAAAAATATAAATAAATTATGGTTTTTTTTTTATTTTTAGAGATCAATATTTACTTGTGCTGCTTCTCGAGCATCCATTGGTATATGTGAACCATATTTTTCATCATGACATTTTCTAACATGTGTAAATGCATCTTCACATGACATTATTAATTTTGTACGTCGTTTTCGTACACGACGTTCATAATCGAGTTCATCATAGAATCTATAATAGATTTTAATAATAATTAATAGAATAGAACATATTTTTTTAAAATAAAACTAGAATTTTCTAATGTAGTAATAGAGATTTTTCATACTAGAGTTAGATTCATTTTAATTAAGTTTTGAAACACTATTGAAAGAAAATAATTTGGCTAATATTATCATAATTGTCGAAGAATGACTTCTTCCTCTTACGAGAAAACATTCCCGAAGTGTTACTTGTTAAGCGAACTGGTATTTTGTCCATAAGCAAGCTGCATTGTGACTAGTAGAATCCAATAATGATCAATCCATATGTACTGTCCCTCCCAAATTATGACAATTTTACTGAATTTTTTTAATCACTCGCTATGCATTTGTAAAAAAAACCTGAATAAGAAAATTTCAACTTGAAATTTTTCCCATCAGCAGATCTCGCAGATCTTTGAATGTCATGAAAATTTTAGCCTGAAGAAATGTGTTCGTCCATATGCTTTTACCCTGAAATTTTCAGAATATTCAAAGGTGCACGATACTTACCTAAGAAAACATTTCAGGTTGAAATTATCTAATTCGATTTTTTCAAAAATACTTTTCTAAAGATAAAAATTCAGTGAAATTGTAATAACTTGTGGAAGGATAACGCATGGTGGCGAACCCTTATAAACTTTTAGTAGTCTCATCTGGTATCTTTGATCGTTAGCCTTAACATTTTCAAAAAAAATATCGTATTCTATAGAATGCAGCAAAGTTCGAGTTCAGTGATAAATTAGTACTTTATGCAAAAAAACATTGTTTTTACGAACAAACATTAAATGTTTAATATATCAGAATAGGTATAAAATTGAAGGCTTTAGACTTTATTTTTCTTTTAAATCTTGTTACGATACAATTAATGAACGAAAAGTTTTCTATAAAAAGACATATATCATGTCAATCGATTTTCTTATTTATTAAAACTATCATTGAAAGCTTCATCTATACAGTTTATAAGTAAGTCAATTCGTTTTTCGCTCATTAATCTATATTCTAATGGTAGATTTTTTTTTTCTTTCCCTTCACATCCTTGGAAATAAATGACATAAAATAATGTTTATTTACCATTCTCAAGTTTGTTATAATTATCTAAAATATTTGAAACTAGGCATGTGTTTAAATAAATATCTCGGATTTTATTAAAACAACAAAATATATATATATATATACTAAGTAATTAACTTACCTATCATTCAATCCACGCATTGATCGTGTAGTATTAATTCCATTTGTACCAGTAGCAATCGTCGATGAATTTGATTGTGATCCAATAGATTTTGTTGAAAATGCTCTATGACGTTTAGCTTGTGTTTGATGAGCATTTTCTAACCATGGATTAAATACAGGAAAATCTTTATAATATTGTTCTAATAAATAAACACTAGCTTCTTGTATTGACATTGATCCTAAAAAAGAAAATTCAATCAATATATTTTTTATATAAAAAAAACAAAATCATCATACCAATTGTATATTGTCTTATTTGTCCATCAGGTGATCGTACAACTTTAACAATCCATTTTGGATATAACCATTTAATTTCTAAGATAAATACAGATAATATTAATATAAATAGAAGTAAATCTTCATATGTTGATGTCATTGATAAAATTCGTTCATATTTATCAATTCTTGATTTTAATATTTTATATATATAATAAAACCAATAGACAATAATAATAATTAATAATATCATAATTAAACATGTTTTTTGTATATGAATACATGGTAAATATGTTTGATTACGACGTCGATAAAGTAATAGAAATGTACCAAAAAATAAAAAAATAAGTTTAAAAATAATTGTTAATATTGGTGAATAATCATCAATAGATAATATTGTATCCGATGTTAATAATATATATGGTAATATAAGAAAGAATATAGGTGAAATGAAAGCAATTAAACAAAGTAAATAAATAATAAATTGTGATATTGTTACAGATAATGTTCGTTGATGAAAATTATTTGACAAAATTTGTAAATGTTCATTATGATGATGATTATCATTCAATTGTAAAGTAGTATCATTATTATTTGTTAATGTATCTTCATTACCTCCATTACATGTTATTGTTGTTGTTTCACCCCAATTATCATCTTGTGGAAGAATTTTAACTTCAATACGTTCATCTTGACTATCAGTTGAAACAACAGGTATTGATGATGATGATGGCATATCATCATTATGACGTTTTTTATGATGATAACGACGATTTGATGAACGTATTTCATTATTAATTGTATGTGATGATGATGGAAGTGCAGAATTAACTAAACCACTGTATGTTTCCGGTTCCATAATCTATGAAAAAAAACAAAAGATACTATTACTAACGAAAAATCATATGAAATAAAGATATTAAATAACTATAGATTAGTAAGTACTAATCACTGTCTGTCTAATCATAAAAAAAGATGTCAA